TGAAAACGGCAGTCTCACCATCAATGACGTCACTCCCGACGATGAGGGCGCCTACCTGTGCCAGGCCAACAACGGCGTGGGCAGTGGGCTCAGCAAACTGGTCCAGCTCAAAGTGCACGGTATGTATTATGGGTGCAAACTATTTATACTACTTATACTAATGAAGTCACCATTTTATTAAATTATGAATGCAAACATATTTTTACCAATTGTGTTAATAAATAACAGTATTTATCAATTTATGATTTATAATTTAAGGTAATAAGTATACAAATTTATAAATTTTATTAATCTATAAATATATAATTTCATAGTGAACTAGTAACTTTTATAAAATATCAAAATTAGTTTATATCAATTTTATTATTTTATTGACAGAATATGTGAGCAAATTAGAAAAACAAACATTAATTATATGTTATATAATATAACTGTAATTATTAATAAATATTGAGGATATATTAAAAATTCAGAAAAATTTACAAATTATTGACATTTATAATTACAATTACTTATAATATTCTTTTAAAATATACTATAAATATATAAATATATAAATAATAGTTATTATAGCAATAGTTTATTAATTTTTATTCCCCACTCGTGCTGACCAGTGGGCGCCCACTTCGCCCACAAGTTTGGGTCCCAAACGGTGACCAAAGGACAGGACGTATGGATAGAGTGCTTATCTCTGGGTGAGAATCCCATAGCGATTGTCGTCACCAGAGATGGCATTCCTTTCGATCCAAACATTGATAACAGATATGAAGTCATAAGGAATGAGACGAACGACGCCTTTGGGCTCAGACTTCACATCCGGGACACCAATCGCAGGGACAGCGCTCTCTACACCTGTAGTGCACACAACAGGTATGGCAGCGATGAGTACAACCATCAGATCATTGTCCAGGGTATGTGTCACTCTATTGTTTGTTATTATAAAAATACTCATTTGAAATGCATGCTGTAAATGAGGGTGGTAGTTTGAAATATAAATTATACAGTAGTGAATTTAAAAATATGTCAAAAGCAACTGTAACCAAACAGATATCCGATTAAAAATTAACGTTAAATTAATATTTTTAGTAAATAATGGAAAGAAGAACGCCAAGATTAAAATATAATTTGTTATACATTTTTATCCATATTGTTATAAATATTTTAGTATTATATTTGATATTATTTATAAAATTTGTATTTGGAGGTAATGAACACATGAATCCCAGAGACTCAAAGTGACCCATCTCTCATACAAATTTTAAGCTATGCTTCATGGGCAATGTGAACTTGGTAAATGCTATGTGACTTAAGTTTAAACACTTTATAATACAGTTTGTATTTGAATTGAGAGATGGGTCAGTTCGTGTCTCTGGGATTCACATAATTAATTTGATGTTTTTATGATAGGCTACAATATTGTCTTTATATTCTTCTAACCGAATTAATTTCTATAAAAAATTATACAGCACAATTTTGTAACTTTTGTATAATTGCAATAAGTTATTGCCAATAACTATATTGGGGACTGACTAAACGGCCGGTTGCCGTCTGCCGGTGCCGGTTGATGCCGTTTGCCGGTCGATGCCGATTTAAAATGCCGTTCAATTAATTTTGTAATGACCAATTCAGCCACAACAGTTAAAACTGACCAGTGTTAAGTTATAATGCCTAGTTGTGGTCAGTTTGGTCATTAATAACTTATTATGGTAAAAATCATGCAAAATATGTACAATTTTTAATATTTTGTTGTAATGACCAGTATTGGTCAGTTGGTCATCATTTGGTCAGTTGTATTATTTAAGGTTACAAATCAGTTAAATGTCATTAATTATAACATCAAACATTAGTCATATTACTGACAACTTCACTAAAGAAGTTAAAACTGACCAATGTTATGGTATTATGTCCAGTTGTGGTCAGTTTTGTTAATATTAAGTAATATAATAAATTATATACTAAAATTTAATAAAAATTATTTTAATTGAATTTATGGGTAAATAGCCTCTAGTAATGATCACAAATGACCAAATGATGACCAACTGACCAATACTGGTCATTACAACAAAATATTAAAAATTGTATATATTTTGCATGATTTTTACCATAATAATTGTTCATTACAAAATTAATTGAACGGCATTTTAAATTGGCATCGACCGGCAGACGGCATTGACCGGCAACCGGCATCGACCGGCAACCGGCATCGACCGGTTGACCAAATGATGACCAACTGACCAATACTGGTCATTACAACAAAATATTATAAAATTGTACATATTTTGCATGATTTTTACCATAATATGTTATTATTGACCAAACTGACCACAACTAGGCATTATAACCTAACACTGGACAGTATTCACTATTGTGGCTGAATTGGTCATTGCAACATTAATTTAACGGCATTTTCAACCGGCATCGACCGGCAGACGGCATCGAACGGCAACCGGCATCGAACGGCACCGGCAGACGGCATCGACCGGCAGACGGCATCGAACGGCATCGACCGGCACTTTGGATTTGCCGTCGAACGGCACCGGCAGACGGCAAC